AGTTGTTGATGTTTTTGCTGTTGTTGTTGTTGTTGTTGCTGTTGTTGTTGCTGTTGTTGTTATTGTTGTTGTTGTTGTTGTTGTTGTTGTTGTTGTTGTTGTTGTTGTTGTTGTTGTTGTTGTTGTTGTTGTTGTTGTTGTTGTTGTTGTTGTTGTTGTTGTTGTTTTTGAATTTTGAAGTCTATATTCTCACGGTGGTGTTGCTGTTGTTGTTGTTGTTGTTGTTGTTGTTGTTGTAGTTGTTGATGTTTTTGCTGTTGTTGTTGATGTTTTTGCTGTTGTTGTTGTTGTTGCTGTTGTTGTTATTGTTGTTGTTGTTGTTGTTGTTGTTGTTATTGTTGTTGTTGTTGTTGTTGTTGTTGTTGTTGTTGTTGTTGTTGTTTTTGAATTTTGAAGTCTATATTCTCACGGTGGTGTTGCTGTTGTTGTTGTTTTGGTGGTTGTTCTTGTTGTAGTTTTTGATGTTTTTGCTGTTGTTGTTGTTGTTGTTGCTGTTGTTGTTATTGTTGTTTTGTTGTTGTTGTTGTTGTTGTTGTTGTTGTTGTTGTTGTTGTTGTTGTTTTTGAATTTTGAAGTCTATATATGAAGGGAAGTGAAAGTAGGGTGCGGTTTGACATTTTGTGCTCCGAGGATTAGCCTCGAGGTGCGTCTCTCTACAGAACTACCCCTCCCCATTATTGCTTAGAACTAATAGAAGAGACCAACAGTACCAATGGCGACAAACGAAGGCATGGACCTGGCTTTGGTTGGCTATGAGGAGCTCATCAAGATCGGCGAGCAAATGTCTGTGGATAAAGCCTCGAGCCTCTCCCGGCCGGATCTGGTGAGCGAGCTGAGGAAGCGTGGAGTGGGCGTGTTGGCGCAGAGTTCGCTACCCACATCGGAGCTCCAACTTGCAATTGTAAGCCTTACTGACTCAATTAGCTGCATGTCACAGGAAATTGTCTCCTTGAGACAGGATAGAGCCGACAAAATCCTGAGTCTGGAATTAGAAGTGCAACAACTCAGGCGGGAAGTTCAGGGGCTCCAACAACCGGAAATCTGTGTACACCCTCTCGTACAGGAAGCACAGCAAAATTTGGCAATGTCCGGCGGGAAGTTGTACAGCACCGCCGTAGGAGACTTGAATCCCCCACGTGCACGCACCCATATTTCCTCTGGTCCTATGCAGTACACACAGGGTAGTACGGGTTCTAGTACTCACCATATGACCCCCGCTCACACCACCTCCAGCCATTTGTCGCAGCCTGTTTTGTCAATGCATGGCACCAGACCACACCCACCTGAGCAATCCAACCCAGGGTCGAGTGCTGCAGGTGCAGAGTGGTCGGAAGTCACACGCCGTAGGGTTACGTCACGCTACGTGAAACCACAGCCCAGGGCAGCCGACCCGCGTGTGCTAACAGGGCCTGAACGTACAAAGAAGCTTGTTCTGTACGTTGGAAATGTCAGTCCGGGTTGCAGGGCAGAGTCAATAACAGCGTGGTGCAAGGCCCGCCAAGTTGACGTACTGAACTGTTCGATTTCAGAAAACACGTACCTGGGTACTAGCCATGCTCGCGTAACCGTGGCAGCATCGGACGAGGACAAAGTTCTCGACTCCAAATTCTGGCCGGCCACCATCCAGCACACAGTTCGAAAGTGGCGCTTTGCTGATGCCCAAGGTAACAAGTCGTCTTCTACTTCGCGGCGAGGCAGTGATGATCAATCCTGAACTGTCATGCTAACAAACCAACAT